TATTAATTTATAAATAATAAGTTTAAATCTATAAATTAAATTCATAAACTATTTTTTTTAATTAAAACTATTATTAAGAAATAGTTTTTATTATTATATAATATTAATATAGTATAAAGCTATTTCATTAATTTATATAATCTATAGATATATATATATAAAGAGAGACGCGCTAAGGTTTAATTAGAAAGGTATATCGAGTATAAAGAATTAATTCGTAATAATTATCTATAAAAAATAGAGAAAGGTTATATTCTTATAGTAAGAAGTATTAAAATATCGAAAAGAAATAAAGATAACATATTAATTAGTAGTATGAATTCTATAATATCTTCTATCGTAGTAAAATTTTTCGAATAATAAAATAGCTATAGATATCGAACGATTTTAATTCGTTTAAATATATATCGTTTAATATTTCTTCTATAGAGATTTAATTAACTATAATCGTCGTAGTAAATTCTTCTCTTATAACGTTATTATAGTAATATAAGTAAAGGCCTATAAATTAAATTTATAGAGTTAAATTCTTCTAAGTTAAATCGAATTTTAGCCCTAGCCCTAAGTTAAATCGAACTCTAATCGCTTACTATACGTTTTTAATCTACTTTTACTATTATAAAATTAATTTAATCTATATAATATATAAAATATATATATATAAAGAGAGCGCGTTAAGACTTAATTAGAAAGATATATTAAGTATAAAGAATTAATTTATAATAATTATCTATAAAAAATAGAGAAAGATTATATTCTTATAATAAGAAGTATTAAAATATCGAAAAGAAATAGAGATAATATATTAATTAGTAATATGAATTTTATATTATCTTCTATCGTAGTAAAATCTTTCGAATAATAAAATAGCTATTAGAGTAAGATATCGAACGATTTTAATTCGTTTAAATATATATCGTTTAATATTTCTTCTATAGAGATCTAATTAGCTATAATCGTCGTAGTAAATTCTTCTCTTACGAGCGAAATATCGAAAAGAAATAGAGATAATATATTAATTAGTAATATAAATTTTATAATATCTTCTATTATAGTAAAATCTTTCGAATAATAAAATAGTTATAAATATTAAACGGTTTTAATTCATTTAAATATATATCGTTCGATATTTCTTCTATAGAGATTTAATTAACTATAATTATTATAATAGATTCTTCTCTTATAACGTTATTATAGTAATATACTATATTAATATAATAAAAATAATAAGTTAAATTATAGTAGTATTCTTCGCTTATTAAGTAATAATTTAATATAAAATTATAGAGAGTATATAACGTAGGATCTTAGAGAGCTAAGTCGTATTTCTAATAATAATAATCTTATTACCGCTTAATTTCTCCGTAATATTCTTTATAGTATTCTCCGTAATATTCTCCGCATTTATTTATTATAATTTCTTCTCTTACTTCTTAATATAGTAGAGATAATAAGCTAAATTATAGTAATATTCTTTATTTACTAAGTAATAATTTAATATAAAATTATAGAGAGTACTTTATATAATATAAGATCTTAGAGAGCTAAGTCGTATTCTTAATATTAAAAATCTTATTACCGCTTAATTTCTTCGTAATATTCTTTATATTTATCTATTATAATTTCTTCTCTTATTTCTTCTTTTATAAAGTATTAAATTAAATAACTAATTAAATAACTAATTAAGTAAATTATTAAATTAATAAAGATAGATAGTATTAATTAAGCGACTAAGAAATATAATTAAAATAAAGTAATAAAGAATAAATTAAGAAAAAAGATACGTCTTAAGAGATAATATCGCTAAGTTAAAAGATATTATCGCTAACTTAAGAGAAGTATATAGAGAAGAATAATAGCTATAAATTCGTTTAGACTCTTTTTAAGAACTTTCTAACGCGTTTATAAGTAGTAGTAGATAGCTATTAAGCTCGCTTACGACCTCGATTATTAATAATAGCGAATTCGCGTTAATAGAGGTTTTAAGAGATAAATAAAAGAAATATATATATCTAAAGCGTTTAGTAACGTTTCCGCGAGGGATATCGAGAATAATTATATTTATATTAATAGAATTAATAGAATTAATAGAGTAATAAAAGAATAATAATTATATAAATAAATAGATAAAAGAATTATTATTTAATCTCAAACGCGTTTAATATAATTATTATATTTAAATATTTATTTAATTTATTAATAGTAGATTAAACTTCGAAATTTTTAATATTATTAGAAAGCGTAAACTAAGCTTTATAACTTATAAAATTATAAAATAATAATATTTATAGAGAGCTAGTTATTTTAGAGTATAAAATTTCTATATATAAATTTTTAATAAGAGAGCTTAAGAGAGCTAGCGAGCTAATTTAGTTAATCTAATTAAAGAGGTAATAACTTTAAATTTATAATTAGTTATATATATAAATTTAAGTTTTTAACTTAGCTCTATCTTATTCTATTATATATATTAATATTATATTAATATAATAAAAATAATAAACTAAGTTATAGTAATATTCTTCGCTTATTAAGTAATATTTAGTTGTGATATAATATGGTCTTAAGAGTAGTTATCTTAATAATAATAATCTTTTATGTTGTTTTTGTATCGGTGCAAGGTCTTCGAGCACACCGTTGGGGGGTTGGGTTTTTCCCGCCCCCGGTGTGGTTGCCTAATCAACTTTAAATTTATAATTAGCTATATATATAAATTTAAGATTTTATAACTTAGCTTTATTTTATTCTATTATATATATTAATATTATATTAATATAATAAAAATAATAAACTAAGTTATAGTAATATTCTTCGCTTATTAAGTAATAATTTAATATGAAATCGTAGAGAGTATATAATATGAGATCTTAAAGAGCTAAGTCGTGTTCTTAATAATAATAATCTTATTATCACTTAGTTTCTTCGTAATATTCTCTATAGTATTCTCCGTAATATTCTCCGCATTTATCTATTATAATTTCTTCTCTTACTTCTTCTCTTATAGAGTATTAGATTAAGTTACTAGCTAAGTAATTAATTAAGTAAATAATTAAGTAACTAACTAACGATTTAATTAAGTAAATTATTAAGCTAATAGAATAGATAGTATTAATTAAGCGATTAATCGAGTAGTATATAGAGGAGAATAATAGCTATAAATCCGTTCGGGCTCTTTTTAAGAGTCTTTTAACGCGTTTATAAGTAGTAATAGATAGTTATTAAGCTCGCTTACGGTCTTAATTACTAGTAGTAAAAGCGTTAGTAAGAGATTTAAAAAAATTCATAATTAATAGATTAGTGAAATTATAGAAGAAATATAATAAAATAGATAAAAGAATTATTAATTAATCTCGAACGCGTTTAATATAACTACGATATTTAAATATTAATTTAATTTATTAATAGTAGATTAAACTTTATTATTTTTATAGCGTTAGAAAGCGTATACTAAGCTCTATAATTTACGAAATTATAAAGAAATAATATTTATAGAGAGCTAGTTATTTTAGAGTATAAAACTTCTATATATAAATTTTTAATAAGAAAGCTTAAGAGGGCTAGCGAGCTAACTTAGTTAGTCTAGCTAAAAGACGTAATAACCTCGAATTAATAATTAATTATATATATAAATTTAAGATTTTTAAGCTTAGCTCTATCTTATTCTTTTATATATATTAATAAATAATAGAATAAAGTAAAGAAACGTCGAGGCGTTAAAATAGTATTTACTATAATTTTAAAAGAAATTTATAATCTCTATTTAAAATAATAGTCTTAGAAATATTTTAATTAGCTATTTTAAGTTTATTAAATAAGATATTAGTCTATTAAGCTATCGACTATATAGATTTTCTAGATATATTTATTACTCGCTTAATAAATTTATAAAAATATAAATATAAGAGTAATATATAATAAAGATAATTATTCTTCTATTAAGAAGTAACTAAGGTACTTATAATACTAAGTTAAGATTTTTATTAAGATACCTTCTTAGTAGATATAAAGATAGATAAAATTATATATTTATATAATTACGATAGCTTACTATAATAATAATATTAATAGAATATTAAAATTAATTATTACTAATTCTATTATTATTAAGATTATAATTTATAAAAAATATAAATATAGCGAGTTTTTTATTATATTAATAATCTTAGATAAAACTAACTAAGTATAATTAAATAATTAGCTCTTTAATTAATTTAAGATATATAATAGTATATAAAAGACGCTTTATATTATAATAGAATAATTAATAAGAAGCTCTTTTATATAGATATAATTAGAAAGAATAAACGCTCTTTATTTTTATTTATTAAAATAAAAAGAATAGTATTAAGAGATAGTAAGAATAACTTTTAAAACTACTTCTTTATAGTCTAAGTTATCTATACTTAATATTCTTAAGAAAAAGAGAATAATATATATATATCGATTATAGATATCTACTATTCTTAGCGTTCTTAGCCTTATTTTAGCTAAAAATAACCTTTAAGAATTATTTTTAGATATTTTTAAGTCTATTTTCGCTTAATAAGCGAAAATATATAGAAATATAATTATAGAACGATATTCTATATATATTTAACGCTAAGCTGAAAATTAGTGGAAATATGTAGGGGTTATTTCCAAAATATGTGGTTGCAGAAGGGGCCCTAAGTACAGAGGCTATTGTTTTGTCGGCATGACGAACTACTCTAAAGCGCCTACGAATTATTACTGTACGGGTAGCCGGCAAGCTGTAAGCCTGTAATACTTTAATTTAGAGTACACGCGGTTACGGGACGTATATTTTACCCAAGACGTTATATTACTTTACTCAATTGCAAAGTGCAAGTGCTGCCTCAAATCAACTTAAAGTCCTACGTTTATGTTTGACCCTACAACGACCGTTTGACAGATGGCTGCCACGAATCCTTCATGACACTGTCTTAGGTAGTTCGCAGATTTCCTTGAACGATACATCTATCCCACACAGCTAGACCATCATTATGGCAACCTTGAATCTATCCACGAATGGTCCATCCATAACCAAGAGTTATCAGTCCATCGTCAATACACCTCCCCCGTCTGGTACTGCCTCCAAGTCTCCAACCTATGGCCAGTGGGCCGTGTACTCTGTCTCTGCTCCTCTAGCCAATGCCTTTCAGCAAGACGCTGGCGGGAAGGAAAGTGTATTGAAAGTACAGAGTACTGGCGGTGGGTACTGTCTTCGTGAATGCCGTAGCCGCAGAAGCTAACGCGGCAGCAGAGGGTGAGCTGGTTGATCTGATAGATGAATTCTCCGATGGCAGGGTTCAATTTGCCTACGCTAAAGTCCAAGACCACAATACAAAGCTGCCAAAATCCGTCCTCATTGGTTGGTGTGGTGAAGGTGTGCCTGAGCGGACCAAGGGCTATTTCACCAGTCATTTGACCGCTGTATCGAAAGTACTACATGTGGGTAATGGTCATAGCGGACCCTGCAGCAAGAGCTGATGTGAGAAAGGGTTACCACGTCCAAGTGACTGCTCGCTCAGATCGCGACCTATCGCCCGAATCTATCGTTCAAAAAGTTTCTGACGCATCAGGCTCAAAGTACTCTGGCGGTGGACCTGTCCCAAGCAGCAGTGGCCCTCCCCCTCCTATCTCCTCGAAACCGGCTTTTACACCTACGCGCAGCAGTGGTGGAGGTGGTGGCGGCTTCAATCCTCTGACTGGATCGCGGATACGCTCTAGTGTGCCAAAAGACACAAACGTTGACGAAGATGGTTGGGGTCAAGACGCGCCACCAGTTACTCGGACGCAGCTTGAGAAAGTGCAGTCTTCGTATCAGCCCACCAAAGTGAATATGCGCGATCTGAGTTCACAAAATCAAGAACCTTCTCGCTTCAATGGCACTGACAATAACGACAATACGCCCACAGACAGCGACGTGGTCAGGGGTGGATACCAGCCAGTGGGAAAGGTGGATATCGCTGCCTTACGGAGGCAGGCGCAAGAGAAAGGCAATTCTCATGATGACAGACCAAACGTAGTCAAAGGGTCCTACGAGCCGGTAGGGAAAGTCGACATTGCCGCCATCAGAGCTCGAGCACAAAAACCTGCAGAGGGCGCCACATCGCCTTCCAGCAGCATGTCCCCTGCGGCCCCAGGAACGTCCGTTCGGAGTAGCGAACAAGGCGAAGAACAAAAATCTCTTGCAGATCGATCGGCGCCCTTCTCGACTTCTGAGCGTCTCACATCTCTCCCTAAGCCAAAGGTTGCCAATCGCTTCGGGTCTGGTCCTAGTTCAGTCGCAGGAACCAAGGCTCCGACTCCTGGCGGTTTCGGCTTGGAGTCCAAGTCTACCCCTGCTGCCCCGCCCGTCGGTGTCGGTAGGACCTTCGCTGACCAAGGGGGGAAGACGCCAGCCCAATTATGGGCGGAAAATAAGGCTCGCGAACGAGGCTTGAGCGGCACAAGTGACAATCTTCCGTCCGGTATTGGAGGGTCTCCATCACATATTGCGAACCAAAATTCTGGCGAATGGAAGAGTGGGTACGGCGGGAAGAGCTGGGCTCCTGTGCAGACTACTAGAACCGGACAATCTTCGGGTAGCTTGGGTCAGCAAGGGACAGGACAGGAAGAAGACAGTCAGGAAAAAGCCCCAAGCTCTCTAACCGGCGGTATTGGAGCCATCCGAGATCGCTTTGATGGTGCACCTCCAATGGGGGCTTCGAACATACGCTCGGAGGTCTCATCTCCCAGTCCACCACCCCTAGATACGTCCAGTAAGCCCAACGCGGGCCGTGGAATCCCAATCTCAGGACTCCCAACTCGACCCACTCATCAAGAAGATGATGAGGACGAAGTAGCACCACGAATGCCGACACCGCCTGCGCAGCCTCCAAGAAGCCCTACTCCACCCACGCCGCCTGGCATGGATACGAGATCTCCTATCCGAGTTGCGATGCCTGTGAGCCGAGGTCATAATGAGCAGCAGGTCGAAGACGCACGGGATGAGCAATTCTCACCTCCACCATCAATGCCTGCACGCTCCCTCGCTCAGGCCATTCCGCTAGAAGAAGACCTCACTGAGGAGCCATTTGGACACGATCCTGCTCGCGGTGCGGGCGAAGCTGCCGCTGCGGCGTCCTTTGGCGGAGAAGCAATTGAATCCGCACAATCCGGGGCTCACGAAAGTGGAAAGCGTGCGCTGGTGCAGTATGACTACGAGAAGGCCGAGGACAATGAACTGGAATTAAAAGAAGGCGAGTATGTCACCAACATTGAGATGGTAGATGACGATTGGTGGATGGGCCAGAGTCCACGTGGTGAGACTGGGCTTTTCCCTAGCAATTACGTAGAGCTCATGGAGGGCGAGGAGGGCGAGGGGGCTGGTGGTGGACAGGCAAGTCATCAAGCCGAAGCTGAGCCTGAACCTCAGCAACATATCGCTGGTGCTGCTGAAGCCAGTCAGGGAGCTACGGCTACGGCGCTATATGAGTATGAGGCTGCGGAGGGAAATGAGCTGAGTTTCCCCGAAAATGCGAACATTACGGGAGTAGTAAGTAATAAACCCCCGAAGAGAATTCTTCCAACGCTAATGACGACGGGCAGGAATTTCCAGACGAAGACTGGTGGTCTGGCGAGTATGGAGGTCAGCAGGGTCTTTTTCCCGCCAACTATGTGCGGCTAGACGAATGATGCAAAAACAAAGAAGCATACGTTCACAAAAGTTACTGAGGGCGTAGCCGTGGTTTATGTGTTTGGACGTTTCATGGATGGTTGTCAATTGTAGATTTTATCTGAAAGCAGCGACAAAAGAGATGTTCAGTTGCAGAGGGACGCACCTCTATTCTACGCCATTATAGGAAAGGAAAACCAATAAGCGAAAGGTGAGAAAACGGAATATTAGAGTAATATTACCTTTCATTATAAGTCTAAATATCTATATGTTAAATTCATAAAAAGTATTTAATTTAAGATCTATCTTAATTTTAAGATTAGATTTAACTCTCGAAGAGTAAAAATATTTTAATCTATAATTTTTTTAGAATTATTAGTATATATAAAAGAATAAGATAGAGCTAAGCTTAGAAAATCTTAAATTTATATATATAGCCAATTATAAATTCGAGTTAGGTCTACGCTTTTTAATTAGATCGGCTAAGTTACCGCGGGTAAATAAATTAACGTCCTCGTAATCACTAAAAGATGCCGTTGTTTTATTAAAAAATAGTATATATTATTAAATATAGAATAACTTTTTATTTTCTATTGAAATTTTGAGATTTTTTTAATTTTGGAACGTGTTTATGCTTTTGAATTTTTAAGAATTATAAATTTAGTCTTATAATTATTAAAGGGTAGGAATTCAAATATCGCTCATCAGGTCGCTCCCAAATCGGACAGCCGGACAGCCCTAATTAAAAAATAGGTATATATTATTTGATTTTAGAAATAACTTTTTTGTTTTCTATTAAAATTTTTTTTTTTTAAATTATAGACGAAATGTGGGCTTTTAGATAAAAAAGAATTACTATTTAGTCTTATAGATTTTATAGGTAAGAATTTAAATTCTCTATTAAAAGTTCGCTTATCAATTTCTCGACAGCCCTAATTAAAAAAATGTTATAATTTATTTTTTCTTATTTTCTATTAAAATTTTAAGATTCTTTTCTTTAAATTATAGAACGAAATGTGAGCTTTTAGAAAGAGAAAAAAATTAAATTTAGTCTTATAATTATTAAAGCGTAAGGAATTCAAATATCTATCTTTAAATATCGCTTATCAAATATCGCTTATCAAAGTTCGCTCGACAGCCGGACAGCCCTGATTAAAAAATAAATATATATTATTTAATTTTAGAATAACTTTTTTATTTTCTATTAAAATTTTAAGATTTTTTTTTTAAATTATAGAATAAAATATAGGCTTTTAGATAAAATAAGAACTTTAAAATTTAATCTTATAATTATTAAAGCGTAAGGAATTCAAATATCGCTTACTAAAATTCGCTTATTAAAGATCGCTTATCTATTTACTCGATAGTTCTAATTAAAAAAATAATTATAAATTTAATTTATAGGCCTTTACTCGTAAGATTTAATTTTATAATTCTTATCTTATTAAGAAGTCTAAATTACGCTCTATAAATTAAAAGAAATATTAATAGATTTTATTAAAATTCGAATTACGTAACTCTTAACGTTTTAATAATTACGTAACTACGTTATATAATATATCTTAGCGCGCTTATATTAAGTCGCTCTTTTCTTTTATAAAACTCTATAATTAATATAACTAAGTATTTTATCTTTATATTTTAATAAATTATAAGCTTAGATTATATTTAATAATTATTTTAATAATAGTATAATTTATTACTATAGCTATAATTATCTTTAAATATTTATATTTATTATAATAAAGATAATTATAATTATAAAAAGCTTTATTAATCTTTTTAATATAAAAAATTTCTATTTTAAAATAGTTATTTTAGATTTAAATAGCTATAATTCGTTTATAATTTAAAAACTAAGAGCTATTACTCGAGTACTTCTACTTTTTACTTAAAATAATATAAAATAAATTAAGATATATTATATCTAGTTAAAATTATTAAAGCCGCTATATAATTAATTAAATTAAATTATTATTAAGATTTCTAAAATATTATTAGCTTTTTTATATAGAATACGCTAAATAAAGAAATAATATATCTTTATTTATATATCGTAAATATTAAAAAATTAGATAATAAGTATTTAGACTTTATATTTATTTAATTACGAAATATTTATAATAAAAACTAAAAATTAGCTATCTTAATTATCGCTAAGAGAAATTAAAAGAAAATAATCTTAGTTTTAATATTAATTATATAGTTTCTAATTATTACTAATAGAGATATATTAATTAAAAAAATAAGAATTTTAATCTTAAAAGCGAAAGAAGAAAGAAATCTTTATTATTATAAAGAAGTCTTAATATAAATATTTATTTTAGAAATAAAATATCTTAATAATAAGTAAATAATCTTATAATTAATCTCGATTTTAAACTTTAATCGAGTTAATTTTAAAGAAGATAAATAGAGCTTTTAATTATTAAGATAATTAATATAATTTTAATAATATAATATTATATCTATATATAAGAGATAGATTCTTATTATTATTATAGTATTTTTAAATTATTTTAATATCTTTAAAATTCGTTAATTATCGTACTTAATTTTTTAATAGAATATTATTTACTATTTTAAGTATTAATAAATAATAAATCTTTATAAATAAAGATTTAAATTATATTAAATTAATTTTAAAATTTAATAAAACTTCTCTTATATATTTAAATCTTTAATATATTATAAAGAATATTTTAATAATAAGAGTAAGTATATATTAAGCTCTTTTATTAATTTTAATTTAATATTAAAATAATTTATTTTTAAATCTTTATTAAAGTTAATCTTTAATAAAGATTTCTTTAATTTTTAAACGCGTTTAATTTTATCGATATTATTTACTTTAATTATTTTTTTAAATCTTATTAATATATAGATTTTATTTTTTAGCTTAAGCTTTAATAAAGCGAGCTTATTTAATTTATCTAATTTATTCTTTAATAAAGAGAATTTATTAAATCTCTAAATATTATATCTTTTAAGAAATTTAAAATTTTAATCTTTTTAAATTATTTTAATAATATTAATAAGTTTAAAGATATCTTTAATTATAATATTAGCCCCTTCGACTATCGTATATATATCGCGTATTATTAGAGCTAGTAATTATATCTATTAGCTATCTATTTTATATATATAAATATTTATATATCTTATAAATTAATAATTAGTCTTTTAGTTATAATTATTCTTTTTCTAATATATCTAATATTCTACTTTTAATAGATTATAAATCTAAAAGCGAATAGGATAGTATTAAATATTTTTATACTTTCTAATATAAATATTAAATTAAGTCTTTAATAATCGTTTATAAATAGATATATCTTATAACGATAGCCTATTTTTTTAGCTTATATTTATCGACGAGAGAGCTATCGCTATTTAATCTCTATATAAAAAATATCGAACTAAAATTCTTATTTTATTCGAGGTCTCGAAATAATACGGGTAAAAAACCCTTATACTATACGAGGACCCGAAAAACCCTCACATCATTCCGAGGTCTCGAAACAATACGGGTAAAATAATTATTTCGAGATCTCGAAGTAATACGGGCAAAACGTTAAAACCCTTATTTTATTCGAGGTCCCGAAACGGGTATTTAAAGCCTCGACACTCTTTCTATTTTTCTCTATCGAGGTTTTTTATAGATTTAACGAGATCGGATAAATAATTAATCTCGAATTTAAAGCGTGAATATAAAAACTAATATAAGATATAATATACTAAAATTTAGAAAATTAGCTTTTAAGGCTATCGAAGAGTATTATAATATTAGCCTCTTCGACTATCGTATATATATCGCGTATTATTAGAGCTAGTAATTATTAGCTACTATTAATTATCTATTTTATATATATAAATATTCGTATATCTTATAAATTAATAATTAGTCTTTTAGTTATAATTATTCTTTTTCTAATATATCTAATATTCTACTTTTAATAATTTTTAATTATTAAATTTACAAATAATAGTTTAAAAATAAATTAAAGTTATTTAGATTATAGCGCTATATTAAAAAAATTTATATAAAATTAATTATTAATTTAAATTAATAGCTAATTATAAATATAAAATTAAATCTATATTATATTAAAATCGCGTTATAAAAAAAACTCGCGTTTTAAAATTAAGAATAAAATTAATATTAAAAAAGTTTAAAAGATTTTAAATAAGTTTAAATTTTAAGATTTAAATATTTTTAATTTTATATTTAGAAAAATAGATAATATTACTTTTACGAGATATAATAATAATTTTTAATTTTATATTAATAGATTTATAGAGATTTTAGATAAATTTAATAATTTATTTTTAAAGCTAAAATTTAATAAAAATTAAAAAATTTATTACTTTTATTTAAATTTAGATTTTTTATATAATTTATATTATAAATAGTATAATTAAAATTATAATATTTTTAAGAATAATAATATTATAAAAATTATTTTAAATTATTTAATTATTTAAATTATTAATAATATAATTAATTTTAATTAATTTTATTAATTTTAAAGTTTATATATTAATTATATATAACTTATAGAATATTATTATATTAATTATTATTAATAAAGCTATTAAGTATAGAATTTAATAAGAAATCTATATTAATAACTTTTATATTTAAATTTAAATTTATAATTATTATAATTATTATAAAAAGAATTAATATAATAATATTAAATATATTATTTTATATTTTAAATTTAAGAAATAAGATAATAATAGTAATAGAGAAAATTATAATAATTATAAAGATTATAATAATTATAGCGATTATAATAATAAAAATAATAATAATAATAATACTATTAATTTAAATAATAAAGATAAAAATAAAAATATTTAAAATAATATATTTATTATTTATTATTAATTTAATAGTATTAAGATTATTATTATATATATTTAATTAATAATAATATATAATTTTATAATATATATTAATTTTAATTTAAAGAATTAGTATATATAAAAGAATAAGATAGAGCTAAATTAGAAA